ACTGTTCTACATTTTGAAACGTGTGTGTGTGTGTGTGTGTGTGTGTGTGCACGCGCACGCATGCATGCGCATGCGCTGGTTGTGGGTCTTGAACTCAGGGCCTGGGCACTGTCCCTTTAGCTTTTCCATCCAAAGCTGGTGTTCTATCACTTGAACTACAGCTCTACCTCCAGCTTCTTCTTCTTTTTTTTTTTTGGTGGTTTGTGGGGCTTGAACTCTGGGCCTGGGCGCTGTCCCTCAGCTCTTCAGCTCAAGGCGAGTGCTCTACCACTGGAGCCACAGCACCACTTCCAGCTTTTTCTGCTTATGTGTTGCTGAGGAATCGAACCCAGGGCCTCATGCATGCAAGACAAGCACTTTACCACTGAGCCACCTTCCTAGCCCTCCAGCTTCTTTTATGGTAATTCATTGGAGATAAGAGTCTCATGGACTTTCCTGCCTGGTCTGGCTTTGAACCATGATCCTATAATCTCGGCTCCTGAGTAGCTAGGATTACAGGCACGAGCCATAGATGCTTGGTTTCAGTATTGTTCCTGGGTCCAGAGATTCATTTCTTGTTCGTATTAGCAGTCTGTTCAATTTTAAAGACAACTCGACAGCGATGTTGCAAGCAGGGAGAATTATTCCTGTAATTCCTACATGTCTTTCCATTTTATTCCAACCCCTTGTGGAAATTTACATACTGCATTTCTCTCCCCTCCCCCAGATCAGATGTACATAAATTGTGGGTGTTGAAAGGAGAGAGGGGGGATGTGTGAGTAAATTACCACCAGCTGTCTGGAAGCTTGGTCATAATTTCTTGAGGTTTTTGTTACAGCTGACAGACAAGCCTTTCCATCAAAGGAGGCGGATCTGAATATGCACGTGTCAGTGTACATATACACAAGCACACATACGGGTATGTGCACACACACTCTGAACGACATGAGATGAAGGTTGGGAGATAAAGGGAGGAAATGGACACTTTTATGGTGCTCAACAACTTCCTTTTTAGAGATTTGGTCTCATATGATGTTCCAGGAAGCTGAGAAATGGAAAATCTGGGTCACTAGCTTACCCTAGAGAGTAGTTGGGAACGGATCTGAAATTAAAAGTTATAACTATAACAGTTATAACTAGTGGTTCACACCTGTAATCTTAGGTACGTACTCAGGAGGCTGAGATCTGAGGAACAAGGTTCAAAAGACCAGCCTGGTATTGCTGTTCATACAGTGAGACCTGAGAATGCAGTACTGGTAGGCAGAAAGTGGACCACACCGTGCGTGTATGGCCAAGTTTTATTAAAACATCAGATGCTTGTGTGCAACATACAGGCAAAGAAAGTGGATGTGCAGTGACGGGGCAGTCACAGGACAGTCATGGGACAGAAAGTTAACCTTAAACAATTTTCGGGGAATGCAGACAATGAGAGTTAACAACCTTTAATCAGTGAGCAGGAAGAATTGTCAACAATTATTTTTGTGATCAAAAATAATAAAGAGAAACAAGGTGCAGGTGGACTCCATAAAAAAACACGAAAGGAAGCTTGAGGCGTTGTTCTCCGGAATTACTTGGAGGAGCACAAAGGGCACTTTCCCCATGTCCTCCACCAAGGTCGCAGCCGGGCATCCAGACCTTTGTCCAGATAGGGAAAGAGCTTCCTCTTTTCCGGCCTGGAGGTTACAGCTGGGTACCCTAACTGTTGTCAGGTTGATGGAGGAGCGTTCTCCTCCATTGTTAGTATATACATCTTCACACAGCACAGGTATCCTCAGGTGGGGTCACGTGAGTCTGTCTCTGACAGCCTGGGCAGGAAAGTCCAAGAGACTCTTATCTCCAATTGATCACCAAAAAAAGCTGGAAATAGGGCTCTGGCTAAACTCATAGAGCACCAGTTGAGCAAAAAAGCCAAATAAGAGCACGAGTTCAAGCTTGAGTACTGACACCGGCCCCCACTCACCCACCCCCATACACACTCACACATACACACATATACACACTCATTCCCAAGTACTAGCAGAGTCAAGGTTGGAATCCTGGTGTCATGCAAACATGTGGTGCAAGAATATTTAAGATGTGCTCAACAATGAATTAAACACTTTTCATATGTGATCTTATTTACTCTCACAGTGGTGCTGTCTGGTATTTATGGTCATTGACAGGGTTTAAGTGACTCACTAGAGCTAGAAATAGAGCTGGAAATGTCTTTCTTCCTTTTTCCTTTCCTTTTTAAAATTTGTTGGGGCTTGAACTCAGGGACTGGGCACTGTCCCTTAGCTTTGTCACCTAAGACTGGTGCTTTACCATTTGAGCCACACCTCCATTTCTAGCGTGTTGGTGACTAATTGGAGATAAGAGTCTCATAGGCTTTCTAGCCTAGCTATCTTTGAACCATGATCTGCAGATATCAGCCACTAGAGTAGCAAGGATTACAAGTGTGAAGCACCATGCTTAGCTTTACAACTTCTTAAAGATAAGGAAGAAAAAAAACATATGAAAATCAACAAACTTAGAAATGATTTTCTGTGGGTATTAAGAATAATTCCAGGGCTAGAAATGTGGCTTAGTGGTAGAGTGTTTGCCTGGCATGCATGAAGCCCTAGGTTTGATTTCTCAGTACCACATAAACAGAAAAAGCCAGAAGTGGCACTGTGGCTCAAGTGGTAGAGTGCTAGCCTTGAGCAAAAGAAAGTCACAGACAGTGCCCAAGCCCTGAGTTCAAGCTCCAGGACTGGCAGGAAAAAAAAAGAAGAAGAATTCTGTTTTCTGTAAACCTCTCTGTACTTTTTCAACGGTCTTACAATAAATATGTTATGAAATGTGTTAATTCAGAATTAAATGAACCTATTTTCTAGCCTACATCTGAATCCCCACAGTTCACCTTGTTAGAGCTACTGCTTTAAGGAATGCATGTCTGACTGTAGACAGAGTTCCTCTTCAACGCCCAGTAGCCTGTAATTTGACTGGAGACATGACTAAATTTAGCATCAGCTTTGGTATGAAGGATGGAAATATGACTCTCTCTGCCTGGGTTTTTTCCTCCCTCAATGGCAACAGTAGATTCTTTTCAAGACAGGTGGCCCATGTCTTGTCTAAAGTCAAATTGGATCCTACAAACTTTTCTTGGCAACATTGTAAGCCCAGAGTAGTGTGTTTCTTATTTACTGTTTGTTTGTACTATTAGTGTTTGATTTCAGGGTCTGGGTGTTATTTCTTAGCTTTCTCTGCTCAAGGCTGAAGCTCTACCACTTGAATCACAGCTCCACTTAGAGACTTTTTGCTGGTTACTTGGACATGTAAGATTCTCCTGGAGTTTTCTGCCTGGGCTGGCTTTGAACTGACAACCTCAGATCTCAGTTTTCTGAGCAGTGAGGACTACAGGTGTGAGCCACCAGGTCCTGGTGACTCTGTGGTTTTTAATCTACAAACTAAGTGTTAGGGATTGGGGAGTTCTAGGCTAGGGATCTTTTAGAAAACTCCTCTAAACTTTCTAGTGTTTTGTTACCTGGTCTTCCGGAACCCCTAGTTTAAAGTCTCTCTCAGGAGAGACTTTGGGCCTTTCTTGGCCTTAAATTTGTCATTTGTAAACTAGTATAACTAAATCAATGTTGCTACTTATGGGTACTAGACACCTTTGTTTTTTTAATTAAAAAAATGACCATGTACAGATGTCTCACACCTGTACTTGTATTCCTAGCTGCTCAGGAGGTGGGGATCTGAAAATCTCAGTCCAAAGCCACCCAAGATATATAAACCCAAGAAACCTTTATCCCCAATTAACCAGCAAAATGTGAGGAACAGAGGTCTGAGATGTAGCTCAGTGGCCAAGCGCTTGCCTAGCAAGTACAATGTCCTGGATTCAATTCCCAGTACAAAAAAGAGAGTATAGTTTTTAAAAATACCCAAACAAAAAATGGGAAATGAAGGGCTGACTTAAGCAGTAGAGTACCAAGCAAGCAGAGATGTAGGCCCTGAGTTCAGGCGGGACTACTGGCACAAAAGAAAAGCTAGTGGTCCTACTATTAATAGCAGTGGTTATGTCACTTCATAAAAAGGTCTTGGGAGCTAAAACGGAGCTGCAGGCGCTGAGCACGCTAATGACGGCCTGTCTGCCTCTGTAAACCTGGAGCCACGCGCGCGCGCTCGCGCTCGGAGGCACACAGGGCGGAGGCAGGGCTGCGTGGGGGCGGCCTTTCCCAGGGTCTGCAGCAGCCACTGGTGGGGGGAGGATGGGGTTCAGGGCGCTGCTGGCCCCGGTCCCCTGAAGCTTTCCCAGCCTTCTGGGAGGTTCCAGGAGTCCTCCGCCTCCTTGGAGCTCCAGGGAGAGCCCAGTTGCTGCGGAAACCTGAAAAGAAAAGAGCTAGAACAGCAGAGGAGGGAGGCGTGCTGGGGACAGAGGATGGCAAGGTCATAAAGGGGGGTCCTTCCCCAGAAAGGATCTAGGGGTGTCCCCTAAATCCGGGTAAAACGGGTCACCCCTCAGAACCCCACTGTGCCCTGTATGGTATTAAGGTCTGCATTCAGCCAGGGTCGTCCCTAAATTCTTCCAGACCCCATCTCTGGCTGGTCGGTTACCTGGGGCCAGGTGATGGGGTGGGGTAGGAGAGGGGGATCTCTTCCCCTCTCCGTCCACCCCACATTTCCCCCTCAGCTCCTTGGTCGTATCTCCCAGCCCCAGGGGCAGAGGCCCTAGAAGATTCTCCAAGCCCTCGGACCTTTTGCTTCTTTCCTTCGGGTCCGCGTGAGGGCTTGGGGATCCGGAGGGTGGTCAGGGCTGGGTCTCGTGGGCCGAGTCCGCCCTTCTCCCCTCCACGCAGCTGGGAGCCCCGCCCCGCGCGCGGTTGACAGCTCGGCGGGCGCCCGGTGCCAGCCCCGCGCGTCTCCGCCGTGCGCCCCGCCCGCCGCCCGCCGCCCGCCGCCGGCCGGAGGTGCGGCCACGGCCCGCTGGCTTTCAAAAAAAAAAAAACCAGAAAGAAAGCAGGGAGGCAGACCTCTAGCTCCTCACCACCGTGGCCGGACGAGAAGTTGTGGGGGGCGGGGAGATCAGAAGTGGGGCGCCCTTTGCTCTGGAGACCCTCGCGCTCCAAGGAGTGGCGCCTGGCCAGGAGAGCGACTGGAGGATGGAGAGGACCTGGGCCAGGTAGGTGCATCTGCTGGCTCAGCGCCCTGCAGACTGGAGGGGGGGGGGGAAGAGCTGCAGACTCGGGGTGCCTCTCCCCGCCCCCCAGCGCCTTCGGAAAAAGAGGTCCCCCTCACCAACCGGGCCTGGCATCGCCCACCCCAGCGCACCCCATCCCCACCCACCCCACCCCATCCCACCCCAGCGCGTCCCCAGCCCAGATCCTCAGCCGGGTTCTCCTGCTCCGCGAACCCCGCTTCCCTCCCTCTGCTCTCCACGTGAAGAAGTTTGGGTAGAAAAGCTTCCCCGGTTCTGGGGGTTCCCAGGAGGAGTTCTCCCCCCTCCCTCCCCCGCCCCGCCGGGCCCTGCTCTTGGAACAATGTCAGATTCACCCTCACCCTGACAGCCACGTTGACCTTCTTCCTCCCCCCTGACACACCAGGGCGAAGGGCGGACCGAGGGGGGGCCCCGCATGGGCCGGGAAGGATTCGATCCCCCTGGGGAGGGCAAGCTGGAGGAATTCCGTGTTTCTCCGCCCGCACCCCTTCCTCCAAATACACCTTAAACTGGAGCTCTGAGGTCCCCCCTTTCTCTCCTGCCCCACAGACACACACACACACACACACAGAGACAGACACACACAGACACGTACACAGACACACAGACACAGACACACACATAGACACACACATAGACACAGACAGACGCAGACACACACACAGACTGGCTTTCTGGTTCAGGAGCAGTGGCTGGAGGGGTAGTTAGTTGTATTCAGGCGGTGTTTCGGTCACAGACACACTTCCAGTACCTGGATTTAGCTTTGGAAATTTCCCCGGGATTTTGGGGTAGCCGGGGGGGGGCGCGGGGGGGGGGGGGGGCATGGAGGGTTCCTGAGAGGGCAAGGCTTGTACACACACAGAAAGTCCACCCGAGGCTCACGGGTACTCATTGCGAAAGACTCGGGGTCAGTCATTGATGGGCAGGCTCCACAGGAGTGAGCCAGCCATTTACTGTGAGTTTTACAGAGAGGGAACATTTACAGAGTATATATTGATAGGCGAATTGTACTTTTTTTGTGTGAGTGCCCATCCCACTTTTGGCTCTTTTCTGCTCTTTTCAGGCCTTCCCCCCTCTCTTTCCCTCCCTCCCTCCCTCTCCCTCCCTCTCCCTCTCCCTCTCTCTCTCCCCTCTCTCTCTCTTCCTCTCTCTCTCTCTCTCTTTCTCTCCTTCCCACTTTCCCTCTCCTATGTGCTATGTTTGGGGCATTGCTGGATTTTTCTTTTAAGTGGAAAAAAAAATCAGAGCAGTCTCAAAGCCATCCCTTGAGGGGTCTGTTGGATAGGAGATGGTAGGAGATGGTGGGTAATGGGCGGATGTAGCTGCTCTTCCAAAGCTCTGTAGAGCAGGTGGCCGCAGAGGCATGAGTCCATTTAGAATCCCTCAGGAGGCCAAATCAACACATGGGAGCAGGTGACTACTTCCTGCGAGGGTAAAGGCTTCTAACAAGTTGGTCTGAGCAGAGAGGGGGTTCCTGTCCCTGGATGTATTCAGGTGCAGGCTGGGTGACCCCTTACCCTTTGGTGGTAATGGGGGAGAGTAGCAGATGCCCGTCTCTGTCAGTGCTTTCAAAACAAAAACAAAAACAACCCCCCACCCCGGGTTTGATCCCCAGCAAGTAGCAAGTGTAGGGGCACGCGTCTATAATCTTGCATTCAGAAGGCTGAGGCAGAAAGATGTCAAGTTTGAAGCCCAGCCTAAAACAAAAACATTGACTAAGAGGCGTTGTACTCCTAAACTGACATGTTAAATGAAGCCTTCTGGTACAACTATTTAAGGACAATAAATAAGCTTGACAGTTTAATTTTTTTAAGAAGGAAAGAATCAGCATTATTCACCATAGCTAAGATATGGGACCAACCCAGATGCCCCTCAGTAGGTAATGGATCAAGAAAATGTGATATATATATACACAATAGAATTCTATGCCTCCATCAGAAAGGACAACACCTCATTTGTAAGGAAATGGAAAGACTTTGAAAAAATTATATTAAGTGAAGTAATCCAGACCCAAAGAAACATAGGTCCCATGGTTTCCCTTATTTGCAATGTATACTAGTTAGTATACATTTAGGATAATCATAGCAGACAAGCAGAAAAGGTCAAAAGCTATGTATATATGACTGTATAAGATCACCCTAAGTGAAATGAACCCTAAGATAGGACACAAGAGGTTTTATCTTTGTCGCTGTTGTTTATAACGTACTATGTGATTTTTTTTTTGGTTTCTTTTGTATGTTCTTCCCCCATGGTACAACCCCTATTGTCATGTATTTGATTCCTGTGCCCTGCATCTTGTATATACATTTTCTAATTTGGGGAGGGGAAGGGAAATAACAAAATGCTGAAATAAGGATACAGGTTGATCCATTGTAACAAGGAGCTGTACAAGACACTATGTTGAAAATGAACTTTACAACTTTTGGGGGTGGGGAAGTAGGGAGAGGAGTTGGGGAGGTGGGGAGGTGGGGAGGGAAGGGATGGTAGGGGAAAAACAAAGGAGGGGGAAACAATGCTCCATAGGAAACATAATACTCCTTACCTTACTCATGTAACTGTAACCCCTCTGGACAGCATCTTTACAATAAAGAATATATTAAAAAAGAAAAAAGAAAAAAAAGTGAGCCAGGCATGACAGGGCACGTCTGTAAGCAGCACTTTGGAAGCCCAGGCAAGAGAATATCAAGTTCAAGGCCAGTCTTGGCTATAGAGCAAGTTCTAGAAAAGCCTAGGCTCTATATTGAGTCCCTGTTTTAAAACAAACAAACAAAAAGCTGCTTTCCATATGTGTGTGTGTGTGTGTGTGTGTGTGTGTGTAAATATATATAACAGTTATAGTCAAATTTAGAAAAATCACAAGTCATGTATTTAGAGCCCAGTTAATTACACAAACTTGAGTGTAGCTGTGATGGCTATCACGAATGACAGAACACCTTCAGATCTTCAGCTCTCAGCCCCTGAGTAGCTGGGATTACAGGTGTGAGCCACTGCCGTCCAGGTGGCTACTCTCACTTAATTAGTTTCACCTGGTTTTGAAATGTATGTAAATGAATTGCTTGCTGTCTACTTTTATTTGACTGCTTTACTCAGTCTTATACTTCTAGAATTCTTCTACATTGTACTGTGTAGTTGTGGTTTATTTATTCTTGCTTCTAAATAGGACTGTATTGTATGTAAATGTATTGATTTATTTATCCGCTCTGATGTTAATAGACAGTTTGGGGCTGTTATGATGGTGTTCTCTCTCTCTCTCTCTCTCTCTCTCTCTCTCTCTCTCTCTTTTTGTGTCCATCCTAGGGCTTGAACTCAGGGCTTGGGCACCATTTCTGAGCTCTTTTGCTCAAGGCTAGTGCTATACCACTTTGAGCCACAGCTCCACTTCAGGTTTTCTGGTGGTTAATTGGACATAAGAGTCTCACAGACTTTCCTGCCTCAGCTGGCTTTGAACTGAGATCCTCAGATCTCAGCCTCCGGAGTAGATAGGATTAGAGGCGTGAGGCACCAGCACTAGGCTTATGAATATTTCTTATATTATCTTTTGTGACTATATGACCACATATATTTTGTGAACATATGTACACATTTCTGTTGGGTAAATGTACAGAAGTAGAGTCCCTGCATAATCAGAAATGCGTCTTCAGCGTAAACATTGCCAAATTGTTTTTTGAAGTAGTTACAAGAGAATTTTCGAAGGCAAGTGTCCATAGAGTAAGCATCTAGTGGTGCAGTCCTAAGGGAAATGCAAATTAGAACCCTGTATCAAGCCAGGTGCTGGTGGCTGACACCTGTAATACTAGTGACTCAAGAGGTCGAGGATTTGAGGATTAAGGTTCAAAGCCAGCCCAGGCAAGAAAGTTTGTGAAATTCTTACCTTTAACCAGCAAAGAGCTGGAAGAGGAGGCGTGGCTCAAATGGTAGAGCACCCACTTTGAATGAGAAAACCAAGCAAGGGGAGGAAACCCTGAGTTCAAGCACCAATAAAAAAACAAAAAACAAAAACTGAAGATTAGGAAAGCAAACTGGTCTGTTTTGTTATGCCTATAATTAGATTTATTCTTTTGTGTGTGTGTCCGGTCGTGGGGCCTGAACTCTGGGCCTGGGCGCTGTCCCTCAGCTCTTCAGCTTCAGGCTAGCGCCACTTCCGGCTTTTTTCTTTTTGCTTATGTGGTGCTGGGGAATCAAACCCAGGGCCTCATGCATGCAAGGCAAGCACTCTACCACTAAGCCACCTTCCCAGCCCCCCCTTTTTTTTGTTGATCTTGGGGTATGAACTCTAGGCCTGGGCACTATCCCTGAGCTCTTCAGCTCAAGGTTAGTGCTCTACCACTTGAGCCACAGCGCCACTTCCGGCTTTTTCTGCTTATGTGGTGTTGAAGAATCGAACACAGGTCCTCATGTATGCAAGGCAAGCACTCTACCACTGAGCCACCTTCCCAGCCCTATAATTAGATTTAATAAAATGCAAGCATTAGTCAAACTTGCCTGCTGTGTCTATGAAAATTGGGAAGGGAAGTAGCGTCCTAGGAAGACTGTAGTCCAATTTCAGATTTTAAGATGATAGTCGTGTTTGTTTTCTGCTATGTTTCTAAAGTGCAGCCTTCACTAAGCCCAGATGCCTGTTACCATAGCAACATGAAACTTAACAGGTCTGCATTGATAGCTGCTGTGTATTTAGTCTGCTCTGTGTTAATACTTAGCCCAGAGGCACGACAGACATTTATATGGTCTGGTTAATAGAGTCCAGTTTACAGAGGCCCAGTTACAGCCAGAGATGGCATGTTGCCCTGAAACGTGGCTGAGCCTGGGGTAGGGCATAGGATCTGGTAGCAGCCATTGGTGTGGAGAGAGGTCTGATTCATTTATGCCAGTATCTGGTTGGTATTTTGTCTGCAGCATTTTATATTAGGAAAATGTTCTTTTTCATCATTCTGTGACTGAACCATCCTTGGATATGAACTTTCCTT